GAGGAGGAGGTTCGGATTCTCGGCGGGAGGTAGACGTTCGGAGCGCACACCAGGCACCAATAATAACTTCCACACCCTTTCTCATCATGCCTGGCCCTTTTATATCAAGTCCTCATTTTTGAACTTTTCTCCGATTTCGTCAGCGATGACGATCTTCTTGGTCCAATGAGGGGACGGATGACACAATCGTGACACAGGAATGTACTCATCTCAACACGGAACCTAACTCGTGGGAATCGAGGTTTTTATTGATTTTATTTTTCCTTTTTCTCTTTTAATTTTCTGTTTTCTCGTTCCGTCTTTATAAAGTTTATTAAAAAAAATTTTAGTTTAAAACACTAAATTTCTGGTCCTTTTACACAAATACTTTTTTTTGCCATACATCTAATAATAGACAGATGTCGTCGTCTCTCCAGATGTCTTTTTTATTTCTCTGTCGATAGCCTGACACATGTTCCGCAGCCATCTTGTATTTTCTCGCGCGCGTGGAATTGTGGGATCTCTCTTATGGCTGGATCTGGTTTCGAGGACTCTCTCCAGTCGATTGCGATTGAACCTCGTTTCAGTCGATATTGAAACGGTCGAGAGCGTTCGCACCACGGAACAGGCTCCGACCTTAGTCACAATCTAGATCGAAATGCTCGGTGCGAACGGGGTATTACGTCCCTAGAACTTAAGCTAGCGAATAATAAGCTGGAACAAGCCTATTAATTACATTTTGTAATTTTCTCTTCTTTTACTGTAGTTTGTTGCAGTTGATACTGTTCGAAACCGTGTTGTATCTTTATATTTGTTTTTCAAAACCGCAAAAGCTGAAATAAATGAATGAGTTATGCCAAGTGTTGATTATTACGCTGCATTGCGGTTTTGAAAAACAAACAATAATTTATGTTATAGAAACCGTAATAAGTCGTTATAAATAACTCTCAACCAATAGAAAGACAAGAAAAAAATTAGTCAAAAAAACAATTGATGTCCAAAGAAACACATTCTAGATATAAAAGATATATTGCGCCAACTAAAGATTATGGCATCTGAAGTGAAAATCAAATGTTTTTCTTGGGAGCTTCTCTTTGATAAAGATTAGTTTAACTCTTTTAAGCGGTATTACAATCTTTATATTAATAGAGATGTTGCGGCTGACGTTTTCACGGTGAAAAAGTGTACGTCGGACGTTCAGCGCCGTCTTCCTGTAAGCCTAGAAGTTTGAAAATGGCGTTTGGAACGTCAAGCATGATTNCTCGACGTGCCCTACATGTCATTGACTTGAAAAGAATCTTTATGTAAGGGAATTTTAGCTTTCCGAATGCACAGCATACTTGTCCTTCCAGATGATGTAGCAAGTTTGTTCTGTTTTAAATTATATTGAACATATTTGAAACATCATTAGAGATGCATATTGTTGGAGCTGTTTCGAGAAACTGCTCTACGCAATCGCTTTTTTTAAAAAGGATGGAGCTTTGTTTTGATGGAACATTGAGCATTAGTGCACGTACTTAATCCCATTTTTATACCGAAAACATTACATTTTTTTAAAAATTTTCAAAATTCATTTTGTTCCTTGCTTGAGGGATACATCTACTACATGATATATCTAATTAAAAATTTAAAAAATAAAAATTGGAGAGAAACGATTAAAAAAACAGCTTTATCACTGAGATTGAATACTCGAATAATTCGATCTCTTCACATTTAATAATTATAATAATTTCGTTATCAACTTTTATAATGATATATTTAAACAAAAAAAATCATTTCTTAAAGTCAATACTTTCAATTAGAATAATATAGAATTCTTCTCTCACCAAGAATAGCTAGATCGAATTTTTGTAATTTTTCAAATCTACATTCCGTTCTACAATACTAATTGTAGAACGGAATGCAGATTTGAAAATGCTAGAAAACACCTATCTTTAATTTTGAGGAAATTAGTTTAGCGTGTCTCAATCCAGTAGTTCGATATTAATTTTACTTCCAAAAATAGTAGGCTAAAAAAGAATTAAAAAAGAATTTAAAAATGAAATACGTTAAGGATTTAATAAACTATAAAATCATGTTTACATGTGGGTGTTTAATAATCTGTATTTATGTGCAAGTTCTTGGAGTATTATATTTGCTATTTGATTATGCCTATGTAAATAGTCTGTGTTAAGAGCTTACAACCAGAGGTTATATGTTGTATTGTTTCTGGTAGAATATGACATTTTCTGCACAATTCACNTTACCACCCGATTTTCTCTAAGCCTACTTTCGGACTTTTTGTACAAAAGCCTTCAAAAACCATACTTATAATTACACTAGCGAAAAATCCAATTAGGAACATTTAGTTTACTAGTTACCAGTACTTTTCGCACAAAAAATGTGGGTGTAGTTACGATACCTTGTTTACAATTCACTAAAATATAATTGGGGTTCCATAATACCACCTTCTCCTCTATATATATATATTACATTCGTCGTTGTGCGGTAAGAAATTCTCCTAATTTTATTATATATTTTGATTTGAATCCAATCCAAAGCTTCGCCGTGGTAGTTTTAACAGGGTAACTCCATTTCTCATTCACACTGCATGTTAGACTCCTGCATGATGAATAAGATAAGACAGACAGGCCATATAACCAATACCGCATTGATGCCTTATATATAGATGCGCTTAAAAAGAAAGTACCCAGATAAATCAAAATGTTTTTAAAACTATTATAACGCATTTACAGTAGATAACACCCCCGAACCCCACAAAGCGTAGATTATATAATTTCCTGAGAGATAAACAATTAGATAGCAATATACAGAAGGAAAATCATTGAATGGCAAAATTATTGAAAGTTTTTAAAATTAAGATTAAATATTATTTTTAAATAAGTCAATTACATAACATTTAAAACACGTAAAAATGTCGTCATTCCAATTTATTTAAAAATAAATATTTTATTCTTTATTGTAATTAATATTAAAATAGCTTTCTTTATTGTTTATTCTTTATAATGAATATTTTAGAAGATTTGTATAAGTTAGTATAATACTATTTTTACGTACTCAGGAATTTTTAGATTGTTTTAAATCTTAAAAACTACGTGCAGCTTTGTCTCACCAAGGTCAAATTGAGCCAACAAAATCCATGTGTTTGGATTAATAAAAGCTTTTTGAAGTGTGTGTCAGTCATGTAATTTTTGGAGGACACGAATTAGATAATTACAGGGACGATTGTTTATTTAGTTATAGCAAATTAATGTAATCATAGTAGTAATTATTCTTTTAACTAATGCCTGCAATTCTGAAAAGATGCAGATATCTCTAATTAATAGTGCATACGAAAATAAATTCAGTTTATTTATAGACTAGATATATAAATGTGCGATAATAATTTATTTACAGTAGCTTATAGATTCAATAGAAACATTTTAGAGTTTAAAATAAATCATTAGAATCTTTAAAATGTTTTAAATAAATTTTTTTCGTTATTCCATTTCATTTCTTTTTTCTGATTCGTTTACAAAGTCGAGTTGACTAATTTCACGAACGAAATTCTTCCGATACCATATAGGCAGACCTCCCTTTTCTTCGAAGCTAATTGGTAGTAGAAGACCATGTGATACATTGTCATGCAATTTTAACTTCCCTATAATAAACTCGTGCAGGTAAAGTGATAATTACTCTCGAACTTTTAATTAAAGTAAATAATTATGTTAATATTGAAGAGCTGCTTGTCCTCTTCCTATAATAAGTGTGTTTATGTATATATAGGCCTACATACATAATAATAAAGTCATATTTAAAAAGTTATGTAAGTATATATTTTTAAACTTTATCAAATAGATCTTTATTATATAAAAACTATAGTGCATATTATAATTACATAATATATACTACAGTCCATATAAATTTCCACGTTAAAAAGTATATATAAGGATTGCGCGCTTAAAATATATATTTAAATACGCTTTATAAATGTTCTAAATTTAAACTAAACACTAAACAAAAACCTTTAAGTAAACTACACATTCATATTTTTAACATTTTCGAAGCTTCGGGCTCGTATATAAGTGGCAGTGACGTCAGCAAGCTGTCTGCTAGCGGAACAGACGCTTGAATTATTAATAATATGCATTCGTCAATGATATATGCGCGAATGCGAAATGCTTCGGATGGATAACATTTTGCAATATTTTTCACATTTCTTTAGTGAAAAGTATTGAATTTCCCATTGGATTGGTGTACCAAAAAAGGTAAGTGGCGTACAACACTGAGAATAGACCGGCATTCGATACTTTTACATAACTCTCGGTATACTTACAGAAGAAAACGGCTAAGAATTCTTCTTCCTCGATCAACTTCTCCAATTTCTTACCGCCGACTTCTTCGATTACATCGCCGCTGCTGGACTTTTTCTTCGCTAACACGAGTACTGCTAGCAGCAATATCGATAGACAGGTCCGCAGCAACGTTCGGCCCATCGCTGCAACAGCCACTGCCACTCCGACACCCGAACTTCACCTCTAGGGTGATAAAGTGCCATCTAGTGGAAGATTTCAATATGAATAACTTCCACCCCATAGTCAATGGCACACCTTCAAGGATACAATGAAAATTGTTTTTGCATTTTCAATCTATGCCAGGATATTTACTAAATTTTTATAAATCCTGTTGTTGGTGATGTTTCAAAGAAAAAGGAAATTCATTGTCACATTAACTTTAGCACAATTTATTGCCAAATTTGAATAATTTTTTACAAATAATTTTAAAACTAGTGAATCAATGTATCAAACAAAAATATCATATAGTGTATATGTATAAATAAAAGTTGTTCACATTATTATTAAAAGCTTGATATGTTTATTCTAACAAAGTATTTTAATTAAAGGAATCTTTGATAATTTGACATATTATGTTCACTAATTTATTTCATTATTTTTTACATTGCAATATTTATTTACTATATGCACATATTGACTTCTTACATCTACTTTTATATAAATTAACATTAAAATTATTAACTTCCTGAAGATAATATAATTAAATGATCTTAAAAACACTGCACACAACTCATACTTACTCCAGCACTGTGGTGTGAAGTGATATTAATCAACTGTTCCAGCTTTTGAAAGTATTTAGAATTAATTTTGTATCAAATATATCAATTTTCTTACAATATATATTGAGTTATTTATAGACATAAATATGTAAATCTTTTACTAGAAAAACAACTTTAAAACATCAACAATCATAAATCACAATCCTAGATTAAGGAAAAAATTAATCTAGCAATAAATAATAGTTAGATGAAACATTCATTTGATACTGTTTAAAATCTTAAGATTGTTTTTAATTTTATTTGATTTAAAAATAATTATTTCATTCAAAAAAACTTATTTGGCACTTTCAAATTACAACCATTGTCAAAGTTCCAAATTGCAACAAAAACTTTTGTAATCAATCTATCTACAGTATATATATTCTTGTCCTCCTTCAATAATAAAAAAGTAACAAGAATTTTTTCCCATTTTTTTAATTAATGAGAAAAAAATTTTTTTTTGCCTGCTAACACAACAACACAATTCTTGAATTTAATTCAAATCCATTCACAACCAGACTTTAATTTAGCAGTTTAATGAAAGAGCAATTAGTGAAGAAGTAGTTATAAAATGTAAAGCTATTAACTTAAAAGTAAATGAATAAATTAATTTAACAACTCTTCCAAAGGTTTGCGATTTAATCTTCGTCGTCATCGTCGTCGTCGGGGACGAATATGTCGTTTTCTTCTAAGAATGCGGCCCCTTCTTTACTAATGGTGGCTCCCAAATACAATCCTGGCAAAACGGTTATTATGACTCGAGGAATTCCGAATGGAGTCTTCTTCGGCGGAGGTAATAACGCTCCAGTTTCTGTTGTTACACGTGTTCTCTTTTGAGTTTTCATAAAATGTTTCGCCGTTTGGATTATAACCAATTGGCCTCTTCTTACGAACAAACTCATTTTACTGACTGAAATCGAGAAACTTCCGCAAGATAACGATTATCTAAACTTCCATCTTGTTTCGATCAGCGCCCTCTGCTTAATTTTATAATTACTGATGTTAAAAATATGGTTAACTGCGTAGAATTTTAGTACAGTTAGTTAAATATTTTTAGATATATATTATATATATATATATATATGAGTTTAGATAATTTTTGTTTTATAAATATTTAAAATTTATATAAAATAAAAAAATTTTATCGTAAAGATAATTTATTCATTCATCTTTTTTGTACGTTTTATTGCTACATCAGTTGTAATTTTTATGATTTGTAATTCGTAATTACTCAATAATTCGTGAGTAAAATTATTTCATTCAGGAATTTTTTATTTGGCTTTTAAAAAATGCAAATCTCATCGAATATGTCGTGTTTCATTCAAATTTCAGGCTCGACGATGCAATTTATTTGATATAATCTAATTATACCAAGTACCGTAAATTAATTGATATCTTTGTTATATTTCAGTATTCCAATTAAAGTTTATTTAAAAATTGAAATTCGATATTATGGTTAGGCCTACTCGAAAACTTAATTTTTTCCGATAAAACTGTTTTTCTCAATCAGGAAGTTAACTAAATGGTCGAAATGATTAAAGCGTCGGCCTACCGCTCTGGAGGTCCGGAATCAAATCCGACCGAGCAACTCCTCGGAAATTTTTCATGGGCGGACTGTTCCAGATGTGTCGGGCCCATTGAGGGCCTGGCCGAATCACGATGGGTATGAAAAAAAGTCCTCTTAGGGCTCACAGGACGAAATGAGTTAAAAAAATAAAAAAAGAATTTAAAAATGAAATACGTTAAGGATTTAATAAACTATAAAATCATGTTTACATGTATGACGGTGTAGTTCGTTAACGAAAACACGCCAAATTACAATACGCGTTTTCTTATATGCGAATTCTAGTATTGAATTACAGATGACAAAGTCAGTTTATGATTTTTACTTTTTTTTTTCTTTTTATTTTTTACTGCTGTGTAACCACGATTATCATGGAAGTTTCGGCAAAGTTTCGATTCCAAGGAGGATAAAACTTTGTGATCCAGCAACAACCTAGAAGAAAAAGTTTGTTGTCAGTTGATGTATTTTCATCATGGAGGGACTATTTCGTCAAATAAGTGAACTTGTGTTTTATAAGTTTACTAAATTTTTAGAATTAAAACCAACAAAGCCAGTTTTACAAAACATTTTTTCTTCTTACAATTTTTTTATAAAGTTTTATTATTCAAATGTTTATTTCTTAGATCATGTAATCGAATAAATAAATATCGTACAATTATACTACGTTCGCACACAATCCACGACTCACTTCGATTTCGATTTACCTACAATCTGGATTGTGACTGTCGCTAGTCGAACGTCATGCTGTTCGCACAGGCAGTCCGCTCCAGAAGAACCTGGCTATTACACGCGATGATAAAACTGACGTAACTACAAACGTAAGTCACAAACACCAACAAACAAAATGGAAGTTTTGGTTAGAAATAAATATGTGACCATAGGGTCGGTATCTCTTCGATACCTCGTCAGGATGACACCACTGTATCCTTCGGTCGATACAGAGACCACAAGTTCGCGCGAGCGGACAGGTATGAGGGTTGGACCCGGAATGGAGAACTGAGAGAAAAACGGAAGAAACTGCACTCCAGAAGTTTTAAACATAAAAACCGTTTATTTATATATAATCTAAATTAAGTTTACATCGGCGAATAAAATACGATACATAAACTACATGAGTTATTATTCAATTTTTAGTCCAAATTAACGACCGGGTGCGCGTTTCGTTTACGCGGAGAGAGAGAACGTACAATAGTGCGCGGGCAGGATAAATACCTTAGGTTGTAGGCAAAATCAGCACAAAAGGTCCAACAGTTCTTTTTAGGTGAACAGTTCTTTCCAGGTGAGTAGAAAGATTTCAGTTAAGTTCAGGTCTTCCAGTCTTGTCCAAGAGGAGGAGGTTCGGATTCTCGGCGGGAGGTAGACGATCGGAGCGCACACACAGATACCAATAATAACTTCCACCCCCTTACTCATCATGCCTGGCCCTTTTATATCAAGTCCTCATTTTCGAACTTTTCTCCGATTTCGTCAGCGATGACGATCTTCTTGGTCCAATGAGGGGACGGGTGACACAATCGTGACACAGAAATGTACTCATCTCAACACGGAACCTAACTCGTGGGAATCGAGGTTTTTATTGATTTTATTTTTCCTTTTTCTCTTTTAATTTTCTGTTTTCTCGTTCCGTCTTTATAAAGTTTATTAAAAAAAATTTTAGTTTAAAACACTAAATTTCTGGTCCTTTTACACAAATACTTTTTTTTGCCATACATCTAATAATAGACAGATGTCGTCGTCTCTCCAGATGTCTTTTTTATTTCTCTGTCGATAGCCTGACACATGTTCCGCAGCCATCTTGTATTTTCTCGCGCGCGTGGAATTGTGGGATCTCTCTTATGGCTGGATCTGGTTTCGAGGACTCTCTCCAGTCGATTGCGATTGAACCTCGTTTCAGTCGATATTGAAACGGTCGAGAGCGTTCGCACCACGGAACAGGCTCCGACCTTAGTCACAATCTAGATCGAAATGCTCGGTGCGAACGGGGTATTACGTCCCTAGAACTTAAGCTAGCGAATAATAAGCTGGAACAAGCCTATTAATTACATTTTGTAATTTTCTCTTCTTTTACTGTAGTTTGTTGCAGTTGATACTGGTATTATTATTATTATTATTATTATTATTATTTTGATTTTCTGTTGACTGTTTTAACAATAATTTATCTTTCATATTTCGAAACCGTGTTGTATCTTTATATTTGTTTTTCAAAACCGCAAAAGCTGAAATAAATGAATGAGTTATGCCAAGTGTTGATTATTACGCTGCATTGCGGTTTTGAAAAACAAACAATAATTTATGTTATAGAAACCGTAATAAGTCGTTATAAATAACTCTCAACCAATAGAAAGACAAGAAAAAAATTAGTCAAAAAAACAATTGATGTCCAAAGAAACACATTCTAGATATAAAAGATATATTGCGACAACTAAAGATTATGGCATCTGAAGTGAAAATCAAATGTTTTTCTTGGGAGCTTCTCTTTGATAAAGATTAGTTTAACTCTTTTAAGCGGTATTACAATCTTTATATTAATAGAGATGTTGCGGCTGACGTTTTCACGGTGAAAAAGTGTACGTCGGACGTTCAGCGCCGTCTTCCTGTAAGCCTAGAAGTTTGAAAATGGCGTTTGGAACGTCAAGCATGATTCCACTGACGTTTCAAACACCATTGCCAAACTTCTAGGTTTACAGGAAGGCGGCGCTGAACGTCCGACGTACACTTTTTCACGATGAAAACGTCAGCCGCAATCTCTCTATTGTCTCTGCACTTCGCGTTCTTGCTTTAAAGTTCATGGTAAAGCTTTCAAGTAGAGGAGAAGGTGGTATTATGGAACCCCAATTACATTATAGTGAATTGTAAACAAGGTATCATAACTACACCTA